GATGACCTATAACGAGTGAGGAAAGGGGTCAGGAGGGAGTGGGGGATGGAGAGGGGAGGGGGGACTGAGTCAGGGAGCCTGGGCAAGGAGGATGCCACGAGGTCAGTGGACATTAGGCTAGTGTGTTGGTGACGCGGGATGGAGGCATGAGGTGGGTGATGGCAGGAGAGGTTGATGGGGAAGTATCTGCTGTCCTCAGGCAAGGGTGCAGTGACATCACTGTCCCCTAGGAGGACTGCGGGAGCGGGCCATGCCACTTGTGAGGTCCTGGGGGGGTCCACCCCTCCTACCCCTACCTGCTCTTTCCTACTTGGCCCTTGAGGGCCATCTTTCTAAAAGACCCTTTCAGAACCAGCAGATGGTGTAATGGTTACGTCGCTGGACTCCCATGTGATCGACAGCGGTTCGAGTCCCGGACCCAGCGGTTTGAAACTCACACTGGGTACATGTGTTTGCGTGTCCAAGATCCCGAGAGGAGAATGGAGGAGAAAGGATTGTGACATGGCCATCCCCCCCAGGGGATCATTTCTCGTTTTCTATCTCTGGCGACGCACATGCCCTATAGCAAAAATCTCTCTCTCAAAAAAAAAATTAAAAATTAAAAAGTAGCAATCTGCTTTGAAGCAGGCCAGAGGACAGAAAGCTGCATTTGCATACTAAGCACAGGTTCTACTCAGCTGGCAGGTTTAGCTGGGGACTTGTGCAGCTGTGGCAGTCCCCACTGCTGCTAGAGGAACGATGCCCAGCCCAGATGCGTAGGGCGGCAGGTGTGCACACCTACACAGTTGGCCCAGCCCACCTCTGTGGCCCTACGTCACCACGCCCCCTCAATAACCATTCATTCAGCCTCTGAGAAAATTTTGCTGAATAAACAAAGGGGGAAAATAGGTGGAGGGAGAGGAAAGAAGGAAGGCGAGAGGGGCTTGAGCACAGCCGGACAGTGGAGACAGCACAGCTCTGTGGCTTCTGCGTCCTTTGGTAAGACCGGTGCCGCAGAGCCTCAGTTCTCTTACGCACCAAGGGGGACCATAGTCACTGTAACTCATGAGGGGAAATACATTGTCGCCATTGCTATTTAATCGCCTATAAAAGAGGGAGAGGAAGCAACTTGCAATGCATGACCCTCCGGGTTCGAACCTGTGATAACACTGGCAGGGCTTCGCAACTGCAAGCTCCTCTAACGGCTGGTATTGGATTGATACGGCCCTGGAGAACCTATTTAGAAAACCTTCCTGCATGTTGTCGCCCCTATTCTCCACCTAACCAAGTTCTACCCCCTTTTCGGCCTAATGCTGGCTCTGCTTCCTTCTGGCACATTCCTGGAGCCTCAGCCCAGAGCGCATTCTGGCCCCGAACCACCTGCTGGCTTACACCAATTCTCGCAACCCTGGCTCCCGTCCTCCTTATCCAGATGCTAACGGGGTGGGTGGGACTCAAATGACCGCATGAAAGAATGAAAGAGAGAATGAAGCAGGAGCCCCAGAACAGCACAGAGCAGCCCCAGCACTCGCCGAGCCCCTCTGCCCGGTTGTGTGTGAGATGCTGCCGCCTGGAGATCACCCAAGCCAGTCCTCAGCCAGAGCTAACGCTGCAGGGGGAGAGAGACACGTGGGCCGGGACAGTTACTGGACAATCACTGCCGCCAGGACGTGCTGAAATGAGGAGGCCTAAAAGGCCGGGCAGCAGGGAAGTGTGGGGTCAGGGAGAGCCCAACAAGTGACACGGGAGTGGATCTTAAAGGGCGAGTACAAACGTGCCCGTTAGAAGTTGGGTAGGTACAGCAGAGAGGAGTCAGAGGACCCCTTGGGGAGGCAGGGACCTGAGGGATCTGACGCTGGCGGAGTGGAAGGCCGCCGGGTGAAGCCCATTCTCGCGGGCCTGGCTGCGGCGGTGTGCACCTCGAAGGTAGGGGTTGGACTCAGCTGGGCACCCTGGAGAGTCCATGGTCACCTGAGCAGGACAGGCAGGTGGTGCCGGGCAAGCCTCGAGCTGCCTGCCGTGTCTGTCTCCCTGGCTGCACACCCCGGACCAGGCGGGGGCCACATCCGCCCCAGCACCTGGCCAGGTGCTGGTCCGGTTGAATAAAGAGATGAATCAATGAATGAAAAGCCAGTGCCTGGAAGCAGGAGGCGGGTGCTCACAGCGGGTGCGGGAACCTGGGCGCGGCAGGCTCGGGGCGGCCGTGCTGCACTCACCCTGCGCGCAGCGGCGGGGAGTCGAGGCCCCCA